GCCAAGAGTAAGTGCCAACTGACTTATAGGGGCAAACCTATAAAGGTGACCACGGACTTCTCTAATGAAACTTTTCAAGCTAGAAGACAATGGTCACCTATCTTTAACCTACTTAAACAGAACAATTTGCAACCCAGAATTCTATATCCCACTAAGTTAAGCTTCAAAACTGAAGGAGAATATAAAACTTTTATTGATATGCAAACACTGAGGAAATTTGTCTCAACAAGACCAGCTTTACAGGAAATATTTCAACCTATCCTACACACTGACCATCATAATGGACCTTCAGCAAACACCCAGAAATTAAAGGACAGAACCTAGTTTTCACAATGAAGCAAATGACAAAACTAAGCAATGGACTTTCACAAAATAAGATGAATAGAATGCGACCACACTTGTCAGTTATCTCAATAAATGTCAATGGCTTGAACTCCCCACTCAAGAGCATAGATTGACTGATTGGATTAAGAAACACAAGCCATCTATTTGCTGTCTGCAGGAAACACACCTCACATCAAAAGACAAATTAAAACTCAGAGTTAAGGGTTGGAAATCAATTTTTCAGGTGAATGGAAGTCAGAAGAAAAAAGGGGTTGTGATCTTATTTTAAGACACATGTGAGTTTAAAGCAACTAAAGTTACAAAGGACAATGATGGGCACTTCATATTGGTCAAGGGGAAAAATACAACAAGAAGACATTTCAATTCTAAATATTTATGCACCTAATTTAAATGCTCCCAGATTCTTGAAACAGGCCTTACTTAGTCTGAGCAACACGATATCTTATAAACAGTATAATAACAGGGAACTTTAACTCCCCTCTCTCAGAGATGGACAGATCTTCTAAACAGAAAATAAACAAAGATCTTAGAGACTTAAATGAGACCTTAGAACATCTGTGCCTGATAGACATGTATAGAACACTCCATCCCAAAGATAAAGAATATACATTCTTCTCATCATCCCATGGAACATTCTCTAAATTTGATCATATCCTTGGACATAAAGCAAACCTCAATAGAATCAAAAGAATTGAAATTCTACCTTGCATCTTTTCAGATCTTAAGGCACTAAAAGTGGAACTCAACTCCAGCAATAACGCCCAGCCTCACACAAAGGCATGGAAGTTAAACAACCTTATGCTGAATGATAGCTGGGTGCCGGAAGAAATTAAAAAGGAAATTAGTAACTTCCTTGATCATAACAACAATGAAGACAAAAGCTGCCAGAATCTATGGGATACAGCAAAAGCAGTACTGAGAGGAAAATTTATCATTTTAGAAGCCTACATTCGAAAATCAGAAAGTGAGTGTATCAGCAAACTCACAGGCCATTTGATAGAATTGGAAAAAGAACAATCTAAGCCTAAACCTAGCAGAAGAAAAGAAATATCCAAAATTAAATCAGAGATTAATGAAATTAAAAATAAAAGAATCATTCAGAAAATTAATGAAACAAGGAGTTGGTTTTTTGAAAAAATTAATAAAATAGATAAAACTTTGGCCAGACTAGAAATAAAAAAGTAAAATCTCTAGTAACCTCAATCAGAAATGATAAAGGGGAAATAACAACTGATGCCACAGAGATACAAGAGATTATCTCTGAATACTACCAGAAACTTTATGCCCAGAAATTTGACAATGTGAAGGAAATGGATCAATATTTGGAATCACACCCTCTCCCTAAACTTAGCCCGGATGAAATAGATCCCCTGAACAGACTGATTTCAAGCACTGAGATTAAAGAAACAATAAAAAATCTTTCACAATAACTAAGAAAATGCCATGAAGGCTATGTTAACCAATTTGATGAAAATATTTCAAATTGTAAATAAAACCAGCACATTATACCCCATGACTGCATTAATGTACACAGAGATGATTTAATAAAAAAAGGGAAAAAATTTAATAGTGAATATTTTCTGAATAATGTAAATCTGTATATTTATATATACACATGAATATTTCAATTATATATAATATGTACATTCCAATGTATTTGCTTATATATATATGTCTATTGAAATTTTAATTCTGGAATTTTATATAAAAATATTAAGTAGTTTTTTTGGTCATAATGTTATGAATAACTTTTTAACTTCATTTTTATTAAATCATAACTGTATATACATTTATGGGGTACAATGTGATGATTTGATATGCAACGTGGAATGTTTAAATCAAACTGATTAACATAACTATCACCTCACTTACTTATTTTATGTGGTAAGATATTTATAACATACTCTTAGTTGTTTTGAAATATACCCTTGCATTGAGCACATTAGTTGAGATGCCACCAAATACCCTTTCTCCACTTGCCTACCCTCTCTCTCTTCCTCCTCTTCCCTCCTTCTTTCTGGACTAGATTTGTATTTTATCATTAATGACTTTTATCTTCTTTCTAATTTTCAGGAATTTCTAAAATTTTTATGGCAAATGTTGATTTTATAATTAGAAAAAATTTACATGTTTAAGTCTTAGATTTGAATAATGTTTAATAATTATTTTTGTTGCTCTCATTAATAAATCATTCACTAATCACACTCTAATCAATAAATTTATAGTGACATGTTTGACACTCTAGGAATTAAATCAGCCATATCACGACACTGCCACATGTGATAGTCACAGCAATTACAAATCGTAGGTGTTATTATCTCTGTGATAGTTAATTTTATGTGTCAACTTGGCTGGGCCAAGATATTTGGTCAAATTTATTCTGAATGTTTCTGCAAATTGTTTTTGGATGAGATTCACATTTTAAATATTGGACTTTGAGTAAAGCAGATTACCAAAATGTGCTTGGGCCTTATCCAATTGATGAAGATCTTAATAAAACAAAAGGTGATCTATCTTATCCTGCAGATTTTGAATACTAAGCCTCCACAGTTGTGTAAGCCAATTTGTTAAAATCTTAAAATCTCTCTGTCTCTCTCTCTCTTTCTCTCTCTCTCTCTCCCTCTCTCTCTCACACACATACACATACAACCAGTTGGTTCTGTCCTTCTGGAGATCCCTTACTAATACAGCCCCCATCCCTAGATGGGCTGACTATTGAGTTACTTTGCCAGAGATCACAAGGTAATGATGGTCGTGTTGGGATTCAAATCTTGATTTTCTTACCCTGAGCAATTCAATTGTTCTTTGTATTAACCCAGAGTTATGAAACAGTCTCCTTAGTTATAGATACTGTTTCTCCCCAGAAATATTTTCTCTTTGCATTCATTGTGAGGGCTAAAACATGAGAATGATACAGATGAAATAAACTGGAGATGCCTAAAAGGAGAAACACTTTTCATTTTAAGAACTTTGGTTGGCTCGGTGCCTATGGCTCAAGTGGCTAAGGCACCAGCCACATACACCTAAGGTGGCGGGTTTGAATCCCTAGCCTGGGCCCGCCAAACAACAATGATGGCTGCAACCAAAAAATGGCTGGGCATTGTGGCGGCGCCTATAGTCCCAGCTACTTGGGAGGCTGAAGCAGGAGACTCGCTTGAGCCCAGGAGTTGGAGGTTGCTGTGAGCTGTGATGCCATGGCACTCTACCCAGGGGGATAGCTTGAGGCTCCGTCTACAAATAAATAAATAAATAAATAAATAAAAAATAAAATGTGGAGGTACATTTTCCCTTAAGAACTCCTCACAGGGTTGGAATAAGAACTCATTGGATCTCCTCTCTTTCTTCTTCTCACTAGGTGTTTGCTCTGAATCTCTGAATTGTTCTCACATTCACTAACTTATGTGTTTGTTAATACCTAGACTATTCTAATAAGATAGAATATAGTATAATACAATATGATATGGAAGAGTGCAGTGCAGTAAAGTGCAATGCCACAAAATACAACCAAAATGGGGTGGCGCCTGTGTTTCAAGGAGAAGGGTGCTGGCTCCATATACTGGAGGTGGTGGGTTCAAACCTGACCCCAGCCAAAAACTGCAAAAAACCCAAACAAACAGAAAAAAAAATACAACCAAATGCAGTACTACTCAATGCCATTCATTGTTACACAATGCCATATAATACAATGCAAAACATATATTCACAGGGAAGATATTCAAAAAAGGGAGATAATGAGAATTCTACCAGTTTGGGCCCCTGTTTTTAATAGATGAGGAAATTTCAGCTGAACAAAATTAGCAATTTATCTAAATATGTTAATGTAGCATAACAGTTGTTGAAATCTTTTAAATATGACAATACTGATGTAAATATGCATACAATTTATTGAAACTGAAGAACATTTTAAACCATCAACTAGTTCCACACTGGTACACAAAAGAATATCTAATTTGAGAGCCAAAAAGATAAGACAAAATCAGAGAATGAAAGGGAGATTTGATGCAAGTATAAAATCCCTCAATGCAGGGCCTCTATGGTTGATCAGGGTTCCCCATTTCAGGGCAAACAGGTATAACTTTGGATATCACCAGGAGCATGTTGCCTTTTGTTAAAAAAAAAAAAATCAGGAAACTAGGTATAAATATCATTGTCTTACTATTTTCCAACTTTTCTTGGGCTAAATTTTTAGAATCTTTTTTCACACTCCCAAGAAACCTGAAATCTCATATCTCTGACTTTCTCCTTATACTAGATTCTAATGGTCCTGGAAAATGTACCATTGTGAATGGTGATGATCTTTAGGTGTTTTTTATGTGCAAATATGTGTTTTCACAATTAAGGAGAAAAAGATTGGCCATTTCTTTTTGCAACATTGATTCTTAACTTAGAAGTAAAATGTTTGTCTGTAGGCTTATTTTAGTGGGGAACTTAATGAGATTCTGGGGCACTCACAGGGACAGAAGATTTTTACAGGAGCGTCTGCTAACAGTGATGAAAGCAGCTTCTCTCACCCTTCTCTCAGATCTCTTGAAATAAGAAGTTCATTAAAAATGTTTGAAAATGATGTTTGTTCATGATTCCCAAAAGCTTATGTTAAATATGGTATTCTAAAGTCTATATTAAAGAAGTGTTGTGTTTTTTTTTTTTTTTTTCAGATGATAGTACTGGAAGTTTAAGGGTCTGGTATTCTCTTGAGATCCATAGCTCTCCTGGACCACCCATTAAAATTATTGAGATGGAGTGTGTGGCTTTGGTAAGCTCCCATTAAATGTTCATACACTGTCATTTTTCCAACAGTTAGAGCTTTTGTTATATACTAAATCACTATCCTTACAAACATCCATATCAAATGAGCATATTGAGATAAATAAATCACAGCAATTTTATTTTTAAATTCAGTACTATAGACCTTAAGTGCTTTTGGAAAACACCTTCAGTTATATGGCATCTTAATAGTGACTGGACTGATTACCATATTTTCAGCAGTTACCCGAACAAACTTAATCTTAGTCTACATGCTTGTTCTCATCTACAGGAAACAAATAGGCAGCAATGGGTAGCACTGATTCTTCCTGTCTCTACAATAGGCCTTTCAATTGGAAACACATTTGTAACAATGGGGATATATTTGGGATTTTAAGAAGTGGTGACTAAGAATAGGATTGTCTGTTTTTCTTGCATTATTAAAGTGCTGCTAAATTCATATCCAAGATTATTTCATAAAGTTAAATATTGAGAATTGTAGTTTAAAGGAAACATAAGGACAATATAAATTACAATTAATAATGTTTTAAGTACACTTTATTCCCTTTTTTCTACTCAAATATTTAAATTGATAATAATTGAAGAATCTTATTTTTATTTTTAAATATTCAGATAGATTTCTCCATATTGATTATTTAGAATTCTGAACTCTGGGTTCCAATAAATACAAAGTAAGAAGAGATTTAAAATAAGTCTCTAACTTCATTATATGCCCACCTGGTTTGTGGGTGAATCTCCACTTTGGCATACAAAATGATGGATAAATATTTAAATGCATTCAACTCTAGATTGAAAAAACAACCATTACCTTGTAAGTGGAAAAGTATTTAATATAATGATAATAGAATCATTTTATGCAATGATAATGTCCCATTTCTATTACCTGGTTATCACTGCAGCATAAAATCTTTCATAAAGTTTATTTTTAAATGACAGAATTTTAATAACACAACCTCGTGCTATGGAAAGTAACTTCTGAATTAAAATTTATATGCTTAATCAGGATATAGGAGGGAAAAAAATTGAAAATGGGCCTTGAATAAATTGGGAGCATGAATCCACACCTCAGAAAAGGGGACATTGTCTTTCTTATTAACTATATATTTAAAATAGGAATAGAGATGAGTTGAGATATGCAACACAAACTTGCAGAAATAGAGGCGACTCTGAAGTCACTTTTAGGTAAACAACTGTTGCATTGTCTCATTAAACTGTCCATAACATGCTTTTTTTCTGTAAGACTGAATAGCCTTCCAACAAAGTTCTGATAGAAATTGAGATTTTTGTATTTCTCAACGTTGGTAAAGATTGTAACAAAGGTTGAGAAACACCCCCCCCCCCAATCTGGGTAGTTTATGTGGATATGTAAGAAGACTGAACAAAAAATAAAAATAAGCAACCACCTGTCTCTTTTAATGAAACCTTTCAAATATGTTATCATTTTGAAATTAAGATTTGTATATGCCCTTTCAGGAATATATTATTTTCATAATTAATGTATTTTCAAATAATAGCCCTTGCCTATTTTCCATAAAGGACTTTCCCTTCTTTATGCAGTAAATGTCATTATTATAACATAATTCTACTTCCGTTTGTACTGATTTTCTATTTAGTTTTTAATTCAAATCTTTCTTTGTTGTGGTACCACAGTGGAATTCTCATCTTAGGCACATGTATATTTCTGATTGCTATCAATTATAACATTGCTTTTATTTTTCATTATGAATAATTAACATAGTTATTTCATAAGACACTTAAATAATATATTTTCACATCTACTTAGATGAAAATGCAATTCTTCAGTATTCATTCTATTAAGTAGTTATAAATTATAATGCAGGAATAAAACATCTTATCGCTATCAGCTGCTAGATTACTCCCTTTGTTATATAGGAAAGTTTGCTGTATTAATTAAATATTAACTTTCAACTGAGGTTGGTGGAGAAGGGGAGTCTTTTGGACTAACTCTACCCATATAAACTGCCAGTAATAGTGATGTTGTTGCCAAGTTATTAAGTTTTCCAATCTTTTCAATAGTAATTGTCTAAGGTAAAAAAGTTATGCCCTTTTTATTTATCAAACATGAAGATTTATTTGGTAGAGATGGTATGGTTTCTTTTAAATAACCTATAGGTTGCAACATCTGTTCATTTCTTAAAGATGATGCTTCTGAATACTTTCAAAAGTACACTAAAATTGTCCTCCCATACCTACTACATCCTAGTATTTTTTTATTACATTGACTACTTTGCCGAATCTTTTGAGAAATACTTTATTTAAACCTTAAGTCTTCAGATGTGGTGATGGAGCATTCAAGCTACCAAGTCGCCTCTGATTTACCGCCTATATGCATGTCAGCTTTTATTACTTTCCACCCACTATTCACATTTTTCCTAACGATGAATGAATAATCAAAATCCCTCTAGAATAGTGTTCACATAAGCAGTATTTACAATACCTCAAGACACATACATTTTGTTACTTTTACTGCAGGTTCCAATAAAAAAAGGTAATGTTTTCAGTAAACAACTCATTAGTAGTCCATTCTCTGTTGATGTAAAATATGTAGCATTTTCTTTGGCAATTTTACCACAAAATATCTGCTGTTCCGTTTTATTTGAACTCAAAAATCTCTCTTCTTTCATATAGTTTGGCTATAGGAGAATAATGAGGGTAACCCACTATATTTCCCCTAACACCTAATAACTCCAATATATAGCACTGAGCTATAAATATTTTCTAGAAACAGAACTTAAGTATATGAACAACACCTTATGTGCTTTAATTTTTATTTATTTTTGAGACAGAGTCTCACTTTGGTGCCCTTAGTAGAGTGCAATGGCAACATAACTCACAGTAACTCTAACTCTTGGGCTCACAAGATCCTCTTCCCTCAGCCTCCAGAGTAGCTAGGACTACAGGCACCTGCCACAACATCTGGCTATTTTAAGAGACAGGGTCTTGCTCTTGCTCAAGCTGGTATTGAACTCCTGAGCTTAAGCAATCCATCTGCCTCAGCCTCCCAGAGTACTGGGATTACAGGCGTGAGTCACTGCACCAGGCCGAAACCATCTAATTTAGAGGACATTTGCTACCAGATTCCTTGCCCACATCCCAGACAGAGGCCAATATACTGAGACAGCAGTTCTCTGTTGCAGCAGAGAAAGAATTTAATATTGCAACATGCTGGGTGAGGAGATGGGAGAAATTCCTCAAATTTATCTCTTTGTGAATTTGGGGGCTAAGATTTTTGGACTCTAGAATTGGGTCTACTGATAGCTGGGGATGAACTCAGAAAGTAGGTTGGGAAGCAGAAATTATCTTCTTGGCTGAGATAATTTCTGGGCAGAGGGTTGTAGGTCCTGTTGGAACAGTTCCCATGTCTGAGCATTGGTTAAGTTGACAGCAGTTGGTCACCCCCAAATGCAGAGTCTTGAAGATATTTCACAGACTAGTCTTAGGTTTTGCAATAGTAATGTTGTCTATAGAAGCGGTTGAGGATATCACAAATATTGCCCCTGTTAATGACAGATGAATTTTAAGCAGTTAAAATAGTAGGCAAATTAGGGAACAATGGCTGGTTAACTTATAGCTATGTCTATACTTCTGTACCTAATTCCTGTCTCATAACTTTGTCCTATTTTAATATACATAGTTTCACATTTGTAGACAAGTTCAAATCTTGCACAATGCATCAAAAAGTTGATTTTAAAAGCATATCTCACTTTGGAAATTGTGAGAGGTGAAGTTATGACCATTTGAGATATCTCTGTATTCCTAAGTGAAAAAGTGTTCAGGGAAGGGAAAGGAAGAAATCAAGTAAGAAAATCTTATCTCCCTATTCCTTTTTATGTAAGTCTTTAAGTTAAGAGTATGTTAATTAGTTGAAATAGACATCCCAGCTATCTGAAATATCATTACTTTGATGAAAAGTCAGAAAAAATACCAAAGAGTGAAGAATTTTTTGGATGTCTCTTCTGAGGAACTATTCCTTTCTATGCCTTCTTGCATAAATTCAAGAGAACAACTGACTGAATGTAACCTTGGACTCATTCATGCAAGTCTAAACTTGGCAAGCAACACTCTAAAAAGGCAAATATCCACTCACTGTGTCAAGAATTCCTGCACACTAGTTCTTTAAAGCATGTCTGCTGTGTCTAAGCACTGCTATATTAACTTGAGACAGATACTTTTCAAAATGGCTTGCATACACAGTAATTCAGAGTAAACATTTAAATAATGTACCCACATATGTTTATGCGTGTATGAACATGTGTCTATAAACACGTACTATTTAATATGGAGAGAGAGAGAATCTTAAACAGTTAAGCAGAAGGGTACTTTCTAGGGATGTGCCTCTGCAATTATTATATTTCTATTTGCCAAAGCCTTTTTCTTTTTAGTTTTCTTTTTCCCATCAAGGCTATGGAATATGTCTGAATACAAAAGAAGGAAAATGATTTTCCAGTGACTTCTGAATTTTCCACAGGTCTTAGGTGCCTTTTAATGCATCCTTAACCCACATCTCCCCCAACCCAATATGAGCAATCTAATCCACTTTGATTGCACTTCTGCCTTCTGTATATTTCAGGTTAGATGGTGGAAGATTGAGGATGGGAGGAATAATGAGGCGTAACTTCTGTAGACACAGCATTGTGCAGCTGGTGGTGGCAGAGGAATGACAATGGCTTGTCTAATGACAGCTGGCTACCTGGTTCCTGGGTTCTGAACTACTAGCACTGACTTTTCAATTTAGGAAATGAGTGAGATAGATTATAGTTATCACTTCGTTGCATGGAATTACGTGGTACATCCAAAATACCTGTTAGTTCAGGAAATGTACTGACTTGATACTGTTTTAAAGTTGAAATTGAAGAAAATTAAAATTGAAGATTTCCTCAATAATATGGCTTACTTAAATTAACATTATTGTGTGTTTTGAACCGCAGAAATAATCCTCTTATAATGAAATCATGATTATCTTCTGAA